AAACTTGAGATTACCTGTGTAACATAATTGATTTTATATTTTATGAGTAAATGAATCAACTTATTTCATTTTTGTACATGTATATTACTTGTAACTTTACCTACAGGTGCTTGCACCCTGCAACCATGATTTTTGTCATCATTTTAACAAGTGACAATTCATTACTGTACCACCAGGCCTGCTGTATAACTGCCACAGTGGTGTTGGGAACACAGTAGATCCATGCAGGGGAGGGGTTGGTGTTTGGGGGATGTATTTTCTTATTCACCTATCAGCATGTACATGTACCTGATGTGTATACATATATAACAAAGAGTGGCGGGTTGGTCGAGTGATTAACACTCCGGCCTTGGCCGGGGTTCGATCCCTGAAGTCGCCGTACGCATGGAATATTCAGAGAAAGTATTTTTCTCCTGCCAACACAACTCCAACAACCCAGGTGGAGTATAACATGGTCTGAGGTGGGTGTTGCGGTATCTGTGCTGTAGCATTCAAGTGAGGTGGCACTATAAATGATACCGTTGGAAGCACGGGCCCACTATGAACAGAACACAATACATTTCCAGCACACACACAGGCATACACACATAGGGAGATATTAGCCAGGCGGCATATGACTAGCTATGTCCTATGCTAGTATGCTAGTAGTTAGCGCCTGATAAGACAGCTCCTGCTAATTCCTCAATATCGTATTGATTACTATATATGCTAATTGTATTAACTGTATAAAATTGTATATCTATGAACTGTAAAGCGCTTTGGAGTGGCTTATGTTAGCTAGATAGTGCGCTATATATTTATTTATTTAAAGAAATCAAAATCAGACTAACTCATAGTTTTATCTTAATGCAACTTGGGATTAATAAGCTTAAATTAATTACACGTTTAACTTTATCTTTACCTTTTATAGATATAGTGCCATGCCATGGAATTTATCTTTTCTTGATTTGTTCGTATAAAACAGAGAAGCAAGTACTCTATTGATGTCGTGTTATAGAGAAACCTGTCATACAAAGTATAAGTTTATAGAAAACCTTACCACATTTACCCATATCACAAAGCATATACTGATCCCCCATCCTGACACAAAAACATTGATATGAAATAAGATGTGAATTTAACTATGATGAAGTGTACTTTTAAACTTTTTCCTCTGAAATATTACCAGAGATAGAGTATAAATTCTCTTTGTACATGTATATGTTCAGTTGAAATTTTTGGTTATCAGAAAATAAAGAAATACGTGTATCGTTCATTTGATATTATGAGATATTCAGTTAAATGATTCTTTCTTGTCTCTTTCAATTTTCATATCACAAAAGAACCCATTTCATTATAAACAATTATTGAAAAATGAACTTCAAACTTTTAAACTTTGGTAAACACTGTAGTGCACTGGAGTTAACACTGAAGTGAACTGGAGTGCAATTCAATGTTTTGTCAATTGTATTTCCCTGTTCACTACGTGTGCACTACGGAGTGCACTAGATACCAAGTTAAGTTTGATCCCAACTGTATGTCGAGAGCACGCGAACGCAAGAACTTTCGACATGATGTGGGATGGTTGTACAGAGTACAACGTCCTATCAACAGCTACGTATACATTTTGTACGTTCATTTAAGGACGTTCTCTATATTAAACACAAGGACTGATGCTTAAAATGATCACAATAGAAGTCATGCGAAAAAATAATACATCCCAGCATTAATATGTTAACAAAATGAAAAGCAAATGAAATCGCTGATATATACTTTTACAAATATTGGGCGCCTATCAGGCTGTGATTGTTTTTTCACATTCAGGATTATCAGCTTTTCAAAATATTTGTCGATAAGTTTTCGCATAGATCGTGCAAAACATTAAGATTGATATTTTCCCCGAACAGCTTGATTGGGATTCCGACCAGAATTGAGGTAAAACAATTAAATATTTCGATTTTTTGATAAGTAATATATTCGGAATACCGATATTACAAGGAAAGTATGCAATTTCATACACGCATTCGTATTAAGAAACTTCCAATATTCATACAACTATATGTGTTTTTAATATAAAATATAATTCCCTTTATTTTAAAAGAAAAATATGAAAAAAAATAAAAAAAAATAAAGAAACTAAAAAATGTTTATGACTTCAAATTCATCATGCAGTGTTGTGACACACGGAATCAATATATCGATGATGTTACCATGACGGTTTCTTGTAAATGTTGATAACGTTTGACTTTCGTAAACAATAACATTTGACGAAACATTAAAATCAGTATATGCTTTCTGTCAACATTACCTTCAACTTCAAAGTTGTAATCTGTTGAAATGTTACTGTTATTGAGAATACAGATCCGTATTGAGAATGCAGATCCGTATTGAGAATGCAGATCCGTATTGAAAATGCAGATCCGTAATAAGAATACAGATCCGTAATGAGAATGCAGATCCGTAATGAGAATACAGATCCGTATTGAGAATGCAGATCCGTATTGAGAATGCAGATCCGTATTGAGAATACAGATCCGTAATGAGAATGCAGATCCGTAATAAGAATGCAGATCCGTATTGAGAATGCAGATCCGTATTGGGAATGCAGATCCGTATTGAGAATGCAGATCCGTATTGAGAATGCAGAACCGTAATGAGAATGGAGATCCGTAATAAGAATACAGATCCGTATTGAGAATGCAGATCCGTATTGAGAATGCAGAACCGTATTGAGAATACAGATCCGTAATAAGAATACAAATCCGTATTGAGAATGCAGATCCGTATTGGGAATGTAGATCCGTATTGAGAATGCAGATCCGTAATGAGAATACAGATCCGTATTGAGAATACAGATCCGTAATGAGAATGCAGATCCGTAATGAGAATACAGATCCGTATTGAGAATGCAGATCCGTATTGACAATGCAGAACCGTATTGAGAATACAGATCCGTAATAAGAATACAAATCCGTATTGAGAATGCAGATCCGTATTGAGAATACAGATCGGTAATGAGAATACATTTCCGTATTGAGAATACAGATCCGTAATGAGAATACAGATCCGTATTGAGAATACAGATCCGTAATGAGAATACAGATCCGTATTGAGAATACAGATCCGTATTGAGAATGCAGATCAGTATTGAGAATGCAGATCCGTAATGAGAATGCAATGCCGTATTGGGAATGCAGATCCGTATTGAGAATGCAGAACCGTAGTGAGAATGGAGATCCGTAATAAGAATACAGATCCGTATCGAGAATGCAGATCCGTATTGAGAATGCAGAACCGTATTGAGAATACAGATCCGTAATAAGAATACAAATCCGTATTGAGAATGCAGATCCGTATTGAGAATACAGATCGGTAATGAGAATACATTTCCGTATTGAGAATACAGATCCGTAATGAGAATACATATCCGTGTTGAGAATGCAGATCCGTATTGAGAATGCAGATTGGTATTGAGAATACAGATACGTAATGAGAATGTAATGCCGTATTGAGAATGCAGATCCGTAATGAGAATGCAGATCCGTATTGAGAATACAGATCGGTAATGAGAATACATTTCCGTATTGAGAATACAGATCCGTAATGAGAATACATATCCGTATTGAGAACGCAGATCCGTATTGAGAATGCAGATCCGTATTGAGAATACAGATTGGTATTGAGAATACAAATCCGTAATAAGAATTCAATGCCGTATTGAGAATGCAGATCCATATTGAGAATGCAGATCCGTATTGAGAATGCAGATCCGTATTGAGAATGCAGATTGGTATTGAGAATACAGATACGTAATGAGAATGTAATGCCGTATTGAGAATGCAGATCCGTAATGAGAATGCAGATCCGTATTGAGAATGCAGATCCGTCTTGAGAATGCCGATCCGTATTGAGAATACAGATCGGTAATGAGAATACAGATCCGTAGTGAGAATATAGATCCGTATTGAGAATACAGATCGATAATGAGAATACAGATCCGTATTGAGAATACGGATCCGTATTGAGAATACAGATCCGTATTGAGAATGCAGATCCGTATTTAGAATGCAGATCCGTATTGAGAATGCAGATCCGTATTGAGAATACAGATCCGTAATGAGAATGCAGATCCGTATTGAGAATACAGATCGGTAATGAGAATACATTTCCGTATTGAGAATACAGATCCGTAATGAGAATGCAGATCGGTATTGAGAATGCAGATCCGTATTAAGAATACAGATCCGTAATGAGAATGCAGATCCTTATTGAAAATGCCGATCCGTATTGAGAATACAGATTCGTAATGAGAATGCAGATCCGTATTGAGAATGCAGATCCGTATTGAGAATGCAGATCCGTATTGAGAATACAGATCCGTATTGAGAATGCAGATCCGTATTGAGAATACAGATCCGTAATGAGAATGCAGATCCGTATTGAGAATACAGATTGGTAATGAGAATACAGATCCGTATTGAGAATACAGATCCGTAATGAGAATGCAGATCCTTATTGAAAATGCCGATCCGTATTCAGAATACAGATCCGTAATGAGAATGCAGATCCGTATTGAGAATGCAGATCCGTATTGAGAATGCAGATCCGTATTGAGAATACAGATCCGTATTGAGAATGCAGATCCGTATTGAGAATACAGATCCGTATTGAGAATACAGATCCGTAATGAGAATACAGATCCGTATTGAGAATGCAGATCCGTATTGAGAATGCAGATCTGTATTGAGAATGCAGATCCGTAATGAGAATACAGATCCGTATTGAGAATACAGATCCGTATTGAGAATACAGATCTTTTTGCGTTGGAGCCGTTACTAATTTATCACTGAATCATTAAATAAAAACAAACAGTTCGGATTATTGTTACGATACAGGACGTTCAGCGTATAGATCTAGTCTTGACGCTGTTAGATAACAGGTAGATCACGTCAATAAGAACACTGATCAGTGAAGAATTAGTGACCAACAGCTAGCAATCCAGGTCACCAGAACCTTATCGGTCTCTCTGGTGTGTCGTTGGATGTTACCGGCACACCAACTGATAAGACTTCACACATACGAAAGTGTGATAGGTAAGTGAAACACCCATTCGTTTATTTTGTAAAACTGTATAAATTTACACTTCAAATTAGGTGTGATTTTCTAAACTCACTACGGTATTTAATATAACGTGTTTGATCGCTTGCAAGTAAACACAAATATGTACTGGGGTGATAAAGTCACTAGCTGTAAGGTATTGGTTTAGCTAATCGTCACACAGTTTAAATGGTATAACGTTAATTTTTCGTCCGTATTTTAACTATTGTTGCAACAATAAGAACGAGGGAAAAGGCGTTTCTGCTTTTATCCTGTGCTAAAAATTACTATCATTAATATTGGTTTTTGATTGATTTTATTTCCATGACGAGATTGCATGTAATGCAGCGGAGCGTTAAATATGAAACACGATTAAGGTAACAACATAACTGGTTACCTTTAGAGAACGAAGCTGGTAATAATATGGCGCTGGGAAAATTACAATTGAAGTGTATCTGTAATGTAATGATAACAGTATTTATTGTATATATTTGACCACATTACTACCACATTTAACTATAAATACTACCACGTCTTGGCCACATTACTACCACATTTAACTATAGATACTACCACGGCTTGGTCACATTACTACCACATTTAACTATAAATACTACCACGTCTTTGTCACATTACTACCACATTTAACTATAGATCCTACCACGTCTTGGTCACATTACTACCACATTTGACTATAATACTACCATGTCTTGGTCACATTACTACCCCATTTAACTATAAATACTACCATGTCTTGGCCACAATACTACCACATTTAACTATAAATACTACCATGTCTTGGTCACATTACTACCCCATTTAACTATAAATACTACCATGTCTTGGCCCCATTACTACCACATTTAACTATAAATACTACTACGTCTTGGCCACATTACTACCACATTTAACTATAGATACTACCACGTCTTGGTCACATTACTACCACATTTAACTATAAATACTACCATGTCTTGGCCACATTACTACCACATTTAACTATAAATACTACCACGTCTTGGCCACATTACTACCACATTTAACTATAATACTACCACGTCTTGGCCACATTACTACCACATTTAACTATTAATACTACCACGTCTTGGCCACATTACTACCACATTTAACTATAAATACTACCACGTCTTGGCCACATTACTACCACATTTAACTATAAATACTACCACGTCTTGGCCACATTACTACCACATTTAACTATAAATACTACCACGTCTTGGCCACATTACTACCACATTTAACTATAAATACTACCACGTCTTGGCCACATTACTACCACATTTAACTATAAATACTACCACGTCTTGGCCACATTACTACCACATTTAACTATAAATACTACCACGTCTTGGCCACATTACTACCACATTTAACTATAAATACTACCACGTCTTGGCCACATTACTACCACATTTAACTATAAATACTACCACGTCTTGGCCACATTACTACCACATTTAACTATAAATACTACCACGTCTTGGCCACATTACTACCACATTTAACTATAAATACTACCACGTCTTGGCCACATTACTACCACATTTAACTATAAATACTACCACGTCTTGGCCACATTACTACCACATTTAACTATAAATACTACCATGTCTTGGTCACATTACTACCACATTTAACTATAAATACTACCACGTCTTGGCCACATTACTACCACATTTAACTATAATACTACCACGTCTTGGCCACATTACTACCACATTTAACTATAAATACTACCATGTCTTGGCCACATTACTACCACATTTTACTATAATACTACCACGTCTTGGATGTTGCGTATACAACAATTCAAACACTTGTTGTGACATCAGCATTAAGTCAATAAACATTAAGGTATGACGTTGTCATGTTGCAGAGAAAAGAATGAACAAGCGGAAATAAAAATGTTGATTTTAAATATTTTGCAAGGGTCATGGAAAAATATCTTTTGATAAATATTTTAAAAAAAATAGTTCAAAATTTATATGTAACGAATAAAACGTATTCTAAAGCGATTGGTATTAATTAGGTATTTTTTTAATTTGATGATATTGATGTAGTTAAAGCATAGTATGGCTACAGCTGGTAGTACTCCAAACGTGTTGTTAATCAATGTAAAATGTGTTCAAATATTTGACAATTTCACACGATATGAATGTCGAGTTATCTCAATTTATTTCTTAACTTTTTGATCGCACAAACCTATATCAAAAGGTCTGACCATATACTTTTACTATATGTATATGAAGTTATAATCACATAAAAAGTTATGTTTTATTAAAATAATTTAAAAGGATGAAGATCTTTCCATTGGTTTGCTTGGTTGCTGCGTTCAGCCTAGTAAAAACTGAGTACAAGTGTATCTGTAACGCGAATCATCCAAACGTGCCTATCAGGAAATGTCCGTCCATTCAGTCCCCTGTAAACGGGTTTCTGTATCTGAAAGAGGCCAACAACCACTTCCATGGGATCGTTGACACATCTCCAGCCACGTGCAGACCAATCAGAACAGACGTGAAGACTATTCCAGAGTGGGTCGCTGTAGACGAGGGTAACCAAGTAAGTAGCGTTCTTTTTTAATCGAATTTTCCTTTTACAGTTTGTGTTTATGCATTGATATAACAGGTGAAAGTGAATTTTAATCTGCAAAGAAGGGTTACTTATATTGTTTCGAGATCTGGAAATGCTCCTGTAAATATATCTTAAGACAATATTTCAATTGTGATCAAGTTATGAGGTGATAAGTCCAGTTGAACACGAGTAAATGTACAGCATTATTTCTGTGAATGGAATATAACTTTTTTTAATTATTAGTCTGATCAGCAAACACATTTGACTTCCAAACCTATTCATGTGTGATCGGTTCAATAAGAACCACCGTCGGCTATGGTCTCGGTTTGTGGTTCGGTTATGAGATGATAACGCCGGTTGACGGTAGCAATTATTATTGAGTGAATGTCAGTAGATTGTAAATATGCATATATAGGGCTCCTTGTTATTTGTAAATATTAAACTGTCCAGTTTTGCTCATGTGTGTAAATATATTTAGAAACGTCAAGCTTAAACTCAGCTTCTATATATTGCCCTTTGGTGTGTGCCATTTACAGCAAAAACAATCTTATTTTCCTTAACGCCTTATTCAGTTTATCACTAAAAAAAATCAAAAATCTTTTATTGTGATAAAAAAAACCAATGTTTTTTGCTGCAGTAAAGTCTCCATTTATTGCCCATCGTTATGTTTGCCAACTTAATTATAACAAAACATTTCAATATGCGTTTTCCCTTCCCTTGTTCTTGCAATTTCCTTTATACATGGTTTCCTCGTTATATATTCAAATACCGTGTCAACGACAAATAGTTATATTTTATTGTATTTATGTACCTGAATGGATATTTTCGCTGTATTTGTGTGCATGATTTATTCTGAAGTTCTCTAATTTTGATACTTCCCAAAAGAGACCGAATAACTGCCGGTTACATGTTATAACATCATAAAGGGAGGACTTTTGTTTTGTTTTTGGTCACCAGTTTTGTTGTAACATTTAGGAAGATTATTATAATTTCGATCAATACACTGACTATTGAAATATCATTGATAACAACTCTATAACACAATGTTTTCGGTACACGTTAGAGCATTAAACTACCAATATTTACGGTACCCACCACAGCATTAAACTACTAATATTTACGGTACACGTTAGTGCATTAAACTACTAATATTTACGGTACCCGTCAGAGCATTAATCTACTAATATTTACGGTACCCGTCAGAGCATTAATCTACTAATATTTACGGTCCCCGTTATAGCATTAAACTACAAATATTTACGGTACACGTTAGAGCATTAATCTACTAATATTTACGGTACCCGTTAGAGCATTAATCTACAAATATTTACGGTACCCGTTAGTGCATTAAGCTACTAATATTTACGGTTCCCGTTAGAGCATTAAACTACTAATATTTACGGTACACGTTAGAGTATTAAACTACTTATATTTACAGTACCCGTTAGGGCTTTAATCTACTAATAACTTCAGTACCCGTTAGAGCATTAAACTACTAGTATTTACAATCAGTCGTATACAGTTGATTTTATAGTCAAAAATTTAGTTTTGATGTACACAGGTCGGATTTATATTCAAAGACGTCGGTTTGCTGGCAATAAGCTGTCCCGGTAACCACACACTGAGAAAAGGTAACTGATGCCACTAAGTTTATATATACTCAGCCAAAAAAACATTTCTGTATTTGGTACAGTGATTCCCAAACCTGAACCTAATCACGTATTGGTTGGATTTGCTTAGATGACCAATTAACTGCTAAGTGAGTGTTTTCTACGAGAGAGAAGGTTATGCTTATTTTCTGATTAAAACCTGTTACAGTTGTATATCTGGCCAATGTTTCCCTCCAGGAAATAACGACATATCCCTTTGGGTCAATGGGGATCATTTTATCAAAATAAGGTTTTATTCGATTTGTTAGGATTTTTGCCATTACTTTACAGTCTGTATTTCCGAGTGTTATTGGCCAGCATGTTTAGCTGGTGTAAGGCAGCTTAACAACCACAAGGAAACGGATCTTGCACTCTTGAATTCTTTCTTCGAATATTTATGTCATTACTTATATTGTCTGAATATTCTGTTCACGCTCAATAACCTCACATTTTGCACCATTGTCTCACTCATTAATTGTCCAAAGGCAAAAAAATATAGGTTTTTACTGCATGTCAACAATATGGTAATACCGTCTGAGAGAAAAGATAAAGGGAATGATTTAAATAAAAGATCATTTAGTTTTAACCATAGTTTATTTCATTTTGTTTTCATGTCATACATACAATACATAAGTACAGGATTCAGAAAAAAGTATTTAAATACTTATATGAACCTGTCTCCTTAATTACTGACAAGCGGATGACAACACTACAAAGCTAAACAACATCGTAAGAATAATATATGTAATAAAGGACAAAACTTAAACCATAAAAGAGAGAGAGAGAGAGAGGGAGAGAGAGAGAGAGAGAGAGAGAGAGAGAGAGAGAGACGGGCGGGGGGATGTCTTTAATCGTGAATTAGTGATATTGCATTGTAGTTACTACATACAATCGTATACTATAAGATAAGTGAACCCAACATAGGTAAAATCAATGTTTTAAATCATGACAAAGATGATTTGTGATTCACTGGGATTCATGTGACAGCACTGTAAATTTGCGAAACGTTTGGTTTTAGAAGTAAAATGTTGGATACAAATTTGGATCTCCGTATAGAAGCATGTCAAGAGTGTAATGTTCAGGTAAATTTACAAAGCATTCATTTCTTATATTTGTAATTGGGACAAGACAGAAGAAAGTGGTCAGTAGTTTCATGTTCCTGTCTACATGAGCAATAAGGACTATCGACAAGATTACGACAAAACAGGTGGGCAATTAGGGAGCTGCAGTTCATCCTCGGTCTAGCGTGATGAACCTGGTCGAGGCGTTTTCCATAATTATAATAAGGGGGAACTGTAAGGGAGTGTCTGTGTAGGTAGTTTTTCAGATTACTTATTGAGAGGTTATTTTTAATATCTGGGGGTAGTGAATTCCACAGGTCAATAGAAGAAGGAAGAACCGATTTCTTGTAGACGTTAGTTTTGCAAAATATATTGCTTAAGTTATCAGCAACACGTGTGTTATATTGGTGATCGTCGATTCTGCGTTGAGGGAGTAGATGTGAAAGGTACGGGGGAGTAAGGCCAAACATCATTTTATGTATCTGAACTATTTCTTTACGTTGCGTCGGTATCGTAGACATGAAGCTTAGCATGACTTGTTAGTTTAGTACCACCCGTTGTAATTATAGCAGCTTAGAGCTGAATATTCTCAGGGGATTGAGACTGTTGGATAGTTAAGTTATCCCAGACGATATCACCATACTCAAGTATAGGTCTGACAAATGAAAATACAAGGTTTGAAGAGAGTTTCTGTCTATATCAAATTTAAATTGTCTTAGAATGGCTAGTTTATTAGACGCTTTCTTAATCATATAATTAATGTGTTCTTTCCAAGTACCATCATGAGAAAAAAAATATTCCTACATGTTTGTGTTGTTTAACCTCATTAATAGGAACGTCATTCATAAATAAAGGGGGGTGATGGGGCTTATTAATTTTCCTACTAATCAAAAGAGATTCAGTTTTTTCAGGGTTAAATTTACCAACCACTTTTCAGACCATGCATATATTTTCCTTAAACTGTCATTTAACAAATCTGCACATTGAGACGGAGTATCTACTATGGCATAAAGGGAAGTGTCGTCAGCAAATAGTTGTATTATAGCGTTAATATTGTCAACTATATCATTTATAAAAAGCAAAAAGGGCAGTGGACCTAATATTGACCCCTGGGGAACACCAGCCCTAATATCCATCCACTCAGAGGTCTTACTGTTTATAACTACTCGTTGCTTCCTATTATTTAAATAACTTTTAAACCATGCTAATAAACTCGTCCCGATGCCTAATCTATGTAATTTAAAAATTAGCCCTGCATGCCAGACTCTGTCGAAGGCCTTGCTGATATCACAAAAGATCATCCGAATGTCCTTACCTTTATCTAGCGCCGATTATATAACGTTAGCAATGGCGAGTAATTGATTACTTGTAGAGTCACCTGCCCTGAATCCAGATTGAGAAGGTGATAATAAAGAATTTTCAATAATGAATTTGTACAGACATTTATAAACACATTTTTCCATCACCTTGCCCACTATAGATATTAATGATATAGGTCGATAGTTGTTGAAAAGACTGGGGCAACGTTAGCAAATTTCCAGACATTAGGAAAAATGAGGTGGTTAAAGAATTATTAAAGATGATTTGAAAAGGGTAACTCAAAATTACTGCTGCTTCCTTCATCAGTCTTGGATTTATAAGGTCAGGTCCAACTGCCTTAGAGCAATCTAGATTAGATAACACTGATGTAATGGCGTTCCTATCAATATATATACGAGTAAGTAGGGGTTCGTTGTTGTTAGTAGGTGGGAGTTCCGCATTAGTATCAATTCATTCAACGCATTTGCTTTAACAGTATCCTCGGTAATAATAGAAGTATGAGTATGAATGGGTGGTATATTACACGTTTTACTAGTGTTACACATTAGTTTACCTACCGTTGTCGACCAAGACTTCCCACGAGTATTATTTCCCAGTATTCCACAAAGATTACGAACATATTTAGTTTTTGCATTACGTATTATACTTACACATTTGTTCCTTACTCTTTTAAACTTAACCCAATGCTCCATGGTTCCTAATCTCTTAGCTAATCTAAATAATCTTTTTCTTTTTCGAGCTAGTTTACGAATTTCACATGTCATCCATGGAGGTTCTCTACAACGTATTGTTACTAATTTGTTTGGAATACATTCCATGGCGGTGTTAATATGTACATCAGCAAAACCATCGACAGAGGCGTCTAGATCGTCATCACTGATCATCATCCCAGTCAACACTAGACAGTTTCTCTCTAAACATGTCATAATTACCTTGGTCATACAACCAAATGTTACGTTTAAGTGACGACTTCTGCAGTACAGTTATATCTAGGCTACAGAAAACAGGGCAATGATACCTCTGAGGGTGGTCTAGAAATTTTTCCCGAACAGAGCATGTATCTATCAAGTAAGGATTACTTACGCAAATAACATCAAGAAGAGACGAGGATTTTTCAGTATAAAATGCAGGAGACGATATCAGTTGGGATAAATTAACTACCTGTAGCAGATCATATAAATGTGAAACGGATTGGTTATTAGTAAAAAAAAAATAGTCGGGGATATTCAATGGACCTGGATTTATCTCAACATTACCGGAGTTAATAAGTAGCAAGTGAATTACACTAAGAAAAAAAAAATGCAAAAAAAACCAGTGAGTTCTATCACTAAATCCCAGACAGCCACATGAGCTGGTGTTAACTTTAAAATATGTTGCAGAACTTCGAAAGGGTTTTCTGTTGAATTATTATATCCGAGCACGGTATAACGGTAATGAGATTGGCATTATGTCACATCAGTATACTGGTGTACAGAAGTGTAAGACAGTGGTGTGCTCGGACAGAATACGTAGGGTATAATTTGGACAACGCTAGCATCATGTAAATTGTAGGATCAGGGATGGTCGGGGGTAGGGTTTAGAAAGAATAGAAGAGGTAAAGAGAGTAGAAAAATAAACACGTACAAGTTGGATAACAGCGAGGTAATGTGAGGTCAAAGTTCATATTCTAACGTTTGTGCTCGGGTCAGTGTAAGGAATGGTCTATATGACAACGAGGGGAGGCAAGCTACGCTTATAAATACATACACTGGTTATTCATACAACATGAAAATATTCTCCTGTAAGCGGAGCACATTGTATCTAGCACCAGTAGGTATCAATATGGTCGATATGCTGATGAAAACAGGACAAAACATTTATAAAACCGAGTTCGCCTGGAACAGGTAACTTTCCGAATAGAACAGCCCGACATATTTACGTCACGGTAGCGTGCGCATGACCTCGTGACAGCGTAGTGCACATGTTTGTAAACGCGCGAATGCGCAGTACTAAACGTACGGATCGCGAAATAACGAGGGGAGGCAGGCTACTGCGCTTATTTATGTACAGTAAATACAGCAACATTAGTTTGTAATATGTACTTTATAATGATATTCTATGAGTGAACACCTTACGACTAAAAGCCAGTATGGTCACAATGCTGTAAAAAAAAGATAATAGATGAAAGTGACACTTTTAAAATGGAATAGCCCGTGGGAGTTACAGAAATGTTTTAGGTCACGGTAGCGTGCGCGTGGGCTCGTGACAGCACACAGACAGTGATGTTTCTAAACAGATTACTAAAGTGAAAAAGTGAAGGTATGTACAAGACATGTAAAGTTATATTAAGGGGGAGATACAAGTCATATGGCATATCCACATGCATATACAACCCAGGGAAATATTTCACTTTAACAACAACAAGCATACCCTTATCAAATACCAAAATGTTCATTAGAACATAATTGTCATTTATATACAATAATGATTATTAAAAGTTAACTCAAAACTTTCTGAGAACACATTTAAATTCATTGGATGGTTGCGTCCCTAGCTAACACAAGCTAAGTCCTAAAATTCCACAAAAATGTTATTTAATTTCTTCAATCTGTAGTCTATGAAAACCTACAAAGGAATTCACTCAAAATCCCTTCACAATGAAATACTGGCATAANTTTGTTGCCACAACATGTAGTTGTGCTTTCTGAATTGGAATTTGATTTTGGTCATATTTCACAGAACTATTGCCCTTTTATTCTTCAACATTTCAATCTTGTCAAGAAATCTGTTCTCTCAGTTTTTCACCGAGATTGTTGAAACATGGCAGGCTTTATTTTCACGAGGTGTGTTTGTGCTTCCCAATTCAAAACTATTAACTGAACAATGTTTAAAATAGTTATCTTTACTGGCAGATAAACTTACCTCATGTATGAAATTAATTTGATGTATTATAGTCTGCAAACAGGATCTGTTGTATAGGACGCCAGATAGAATCTACACAGTATGATTGTTGTATTTGTCACATCAGTAAAAATATAGCTGTAGGGAAACTTATCAAGTATATGACTTCCATAATGGTTGGTTGTCTGAAAATATAAATCAACAACACATCAGTTTAGATAGCTGAAGATATGATCTGAGATTTCAATTAGCCTGACTATATTTCATTCAAATTAATTAAGTGAAAGATATACATTGTTGTAGATTATCTAAACCAATACTCATCATAAAATATTTTCTCTATTTAACAATAGGGGTGGTACATGGATACTTATACATGTAACACCAGATCCAGAGGCACAAAAGTTTTGTAAGTTGTAAGTCATGATCAATTCTTATATGTTTATCAAGGAACAATTCGAATATGCTTACCAAAGAAATGATTTCCAAGAGATCAATGGCTGAACTAGCTGCATCATTGACTGACTGTTATCAGATCTTTATAAAAAGGCTTGCAGGGTATTTAGAGGAAGAAGTTACTTGGTTGGCTGCCTGGCTGTTTGGTGAGTTGGCAGAGCTAGTTGCCTGATTTGACTGGGTTGGTTGGCTAGTGGCTCAAGTGCCCAACTGATTCGATGGGTAATGTGTATTGTATCTGTCATCTATAAAATAACAAAAATATAGCAATCCTACTAAAACATTTTCTGACTGACATATATTATCTCACAGTTTGTGCAGTAAACTATTTCATTTGCATATTTACTCAGCATTGTGTAACTTCACATCAGGTGGCATATGTCTCAAATGTAGTTTGATAAATAGCTAACCGAGTACAACACCTTAGCTAGGAAACATCAAAACATTTATCTTTCATCCTGATAAGTGCAGTTATCCATTCAGCCTATATTTACTAGAAACAGTCCATATTGTCCAGTATATTTGTTCTGGTGAGTGCAGTATGTACAGAGGGTGTTATATAAAGTAATAGATTTGTCTACAGCTAAAATAGGCCTAATATTGGCCCCAGAATAATGCATAGCTGAGAATTATGACTAACCATCAAGACAGGAATGGTTGAACTTGACAGTAGTCTAGTTGACTTGGGTAGTTGACCGGCCTGGTTGATTGGTATAGTTGACTTGAGCAGTTGACTGGTTTGGTTAAATTGGGCTGGTTAGCTGGACTGACTGACTTGGACTGGTTAACTGGAGAACTAGCTGTCTGGACTGTGTAACTTGGGCTGGCTTACTGGACTAGTTGACTGGGATGGGGGAGTGTACTGGTTGGTTTGGCTGGCTGACTTGACTGGTTGACTTGGACTGGCTGACTGGACTGGCAGACTTGGGTTGGCTGACTCAACTAGTGGACCAACTGCTCAGCTAGTTTGTCATGTATCTGTTTCCTGTAACATAGGAAAAATAAAAACAGTTCTACACAAAACATCTTGGGCTGCTCTTGGTTACGCTTACATATAAAAATAAATATCACAACTTTAAACTATCAGGTAGAGGTAGGTACTGATTCCTAAACAAGCTCTATAGTTTTCATATATGTGCAGTACATAATTTGCAGAATGAAGGTGCTCCTAATTACATTTTATTACAAAGTGGTGACTATTGGTCTATCTATTAGTTCTGAACATCATACATAATGCTGCCATAATTTATACTGTCAGAGTTTACATATGTTACCTGTTCAAAATTATCTGCTGTACAGGTAGAGATTTTAAAGTACAGAACTTGATATATGTGTTTTCCAACCCAACGAAGCAGCATTGACACCAACAAACTTCAAGTATATCCATTGTCTACATTGATATAATTACAATAACATTTCCCATTCAAATTGTTTTACAATCATTTACATAATGTTACAATGATATTATTTTATGTCAAACAAGAGGCCTAGGGGCCTTAGTAGCTCACCTGGTAATTTATTTTTCAATTTAAAACCTGCTGAGTACCATTCAGGTTTATCAAAGGAGTACAAGTTACAAAGTTGCTAGAAGAACAACATATAAATCTGTTTTGGTGGGAAAGACAACAAGAAAATGATTTTCCATGTTATGTCCCAGTTTTCCTCAATTTCCCCTATTGGGCCTCACATGCACCTTTTTTACAAGTTAAACAAAGTTGAGTTGTTTTCCTCTAAGCATGCTTCAGACTGCATTTGGTTTAAATCCCTTCACTTGTATAGTAGGAGAGAAAAATTCCTCTATTTCCCCTATTGAGCCCCGCCCATATGCTCCCAGAGGGGCCACGCCCTCCGTTTATACAAACTTGAGTCCCTTTTGCCCAAGATCCTCCAGACCAAATTGTGAAGAAATCCCTTAATCCCGATGGTCGAAGAAGGATTTAAAAACAAATACCTTTATTTCCCCTATTGGGCCCACCCCTCAGATCCCAGGGGGCGCCACACCCACCGTTTATACAAAATTTGTTCCCCTTTACCCAAGGATACTCCACACCAAATATGGACCAAATCCTTTCATTCCGACAGAATAAGAAGGATTTTAAAGAATAATTTGCTATGCTTCCCCTATTTGGCCCGCCCCTAAGGCCCCTGGGGGGCCAGACCCACGGTTTATACAAAATTGGTTCCTCTTCACCCAAGGATGCTTCAAATATGGAACAAATCCTTTCATTCCTACAGAAGAACAAGGATTTTAAAGAATTTGCTATATTTTCCCTTTTGGGCCCCGCCCCTCAGCCCCCAGGGGGGCCACACCCTCCATTTATACAAAATGGGTTCCCCTTCCCCCAAAGATGCTTCTGACCAAATTTGGTCAAAATCTATTTAGCCGTTCAGGACAAGTAGCGTTTTAAAGGAAAAGTTGACGGACGGAAGGACGACAGACGCTGCGCCATGGCATAAGCTCACTTGCCCTTCGGGGAGGTGAGCTAAAAATGTCATATTTTAGCCAGTTATTAAATTACCAAACTTCAAAAGCAGACAGAGTGACTCAAGTAGACTTGTTGGCTCAGTTGTCTGTGCGTATACACGTCAGCTGGTCTGCTGCATCGGGACTGTTGGCAGGTCTTACAGGTTGGGTGGTATAAAGGGTAAGATGGTCTGATGTGTTAATACATGCCTCGTATGAGCGGTTCTTCAGCATGTTACTGGTTAGGTCAGCAGGCTGTGATAAATGGCAGGGTGGTTTGGATACACAGGTGGGATTGCCTGATCAACAAAAATAAAATCCTGTTTTACCTTTATATAATAGCTAAGAATACTTTAGTTATTGCATTAATCATACACTTACTTGTACTAAGTTGATATCGATAAATTATATGAATACAATGATATTCACAGATTTAATGACAATTTTGGACATGTAGGAAATATGCAATCAATGTCTTTATTCATACAATGACACAATCCTTTTACTCTCAACATGGAAATTACTATATTCAGATTAATTCCATGAACTCACCTAAATATCCCCAAATTTAAGATCACTATTATGTAAGTCTGGCTGCAGATTATGCACCATGGTTTTTGCTGTTTTCCTTTGTATTTAACATTGTATACGGCCCCATCTAAAGATGTATTACACACAACAAAGTAAAGGTGCGTTCGATTACACACACTAGTACAGTAGAGGAGGGCTCGATAAGGACAATACCATTACACCATATTCCTCATCTTTTCCTGTAACATATTCCAGCACATAGCCTTCTAATCATTTGTCTTTATTCAAGTCACCTAGTGAAAAATAGAAAGTGAAATGACACAACTCAATTAAAACAGGTGTTTTTAACGGAAAATTAATATAATTGTTTTTATCATCCCTTCATCTGTCATAGAAACATGAATGTACAACCCTTAAAATATTAAAATCCATGGTAAAAGTTTTTGGACCACCAATCTGAGAAGTAAGTTTGAAAGACTACAAGCATTTTTACTGATGTTACTAATATGCAATTACTGTTGCGACAGTTTCCTCAAGAAAAACAACTTCCTTGAGAACATGGTCCAGTAAGAGACATTCACAATATTGTCACACCAATGTAGTGAAAAACAAAATATACACTATTGTTTCTTTATATCAGCTATTTAAGGGCTGGGATATTTCAGTCGTTGACTCAGCATATGTTGTAATTCATGTATAGAGACTTCATTTACTTTGAAATGAACAGTGGCTGGCCAGATGCAAACTTTGCAAAAATTGATTGTTAGAATTCAAAGCTGACCACAGGGTTTTGCTTTGATCAGCATCAACTGTTTCAACTGGTTGAACCAGAACAGAAAGCACCGGTACAGACAGGGGCTAACCTCTGGGTATGGCACATGTAAATCATGGGGTCAATATGTTTATTTCCGTGTTATTAAAACAGTCCAGTAAACATTAAACAGAACTTTTATAACTGTGTACCTGTTCTAACATTGTTGCATCTTTAACTTGACACCTTCTTGATGTGGGAACACTTTGAGCTGGAAGTTCACTTTTTTCACCTGAAAATAGTTTTAAAAATTCTATATTGCATCAATTTCTCCACTGCTTTATAGGATATAAATGTAAATAGTTTCAAAAACATGCCAAATTGTTGAGTAAGAACTTAATGTTTTTTGAAACAAAATATAAAATTTAAATGTGAAATATTATGATTCAGTCAGTTATTCAATTTCATACCAATCACACTTGTGCATACTTTACTTGCTACTTTATTTACTAAACAACAGTGTGTGATTTGCTTGTTTCAATTGTCTGAATGAGAGTGTCCTATGTGAAGGCATATGTTGGATGTAGAATCAATTCACAAAAAGTTAATGCATAATATTTAACAGATTAAATGACAAAATAAGTTAATTGTCTATAAAACACTTTGCGAATGAATACTATTTAGTAACCGCTCGACCAATCCACTTATGTTTACCTGATCCTGTTGCCTTAGACACTGTAGTATTTGTAATCTTTTTTGTTGCCAGTTCTCATAGGTTTCTTAACTCATGAATTTCTGTAATCACAGAAGATCACTTGGGGTACAAACTGAAAACAAAATTATATACATACACATGTAGTGATGTACATTACTTCAAAATGCCTTCCAGTTGCTAAATTAAACTTTAAAAGACTTTTTCTCTTTCCCAAGACTAATTTGAAGTGCTACACGTGTATGAGTCTCCATACAGTCACGCACGGTCTTTTATACTCGAGTTACATTTTCGGGGGCTACTGACAGGGGGTAAACAATACATAACACATGCTATTTTTCGGGAATAAATTAATTAAAATGGCAATGTATCAAATAATGATACAAACATAGATGGAAGGAAATGTGTCAAAAATTAAAATGATTTTATTTTGCAAATACTTGTTGTCCAGACAGCGAGAAAGTTTTCGGACCCCAAACAAATGCGTGTAACCACGTGAGAAAATGCAGATCTGACACGTTCAACACGGGGCAAACACTTCATAAAAAGTGTTATAGGAGCGATAAGAAACTGACGATCTGCGATCGACTAGCTCAGTGATAATTAATGCAGCATATGTTGCATAATATTTAAGGATCTCGAACGTAATAGTAATATTTATGTGTAAATCATACTTACTTGCAAACGGACTGTCCTTGGTTAGCTTACCGGATGTGCCCAACAACACCTGTGCTATTGTTTATACTCCGCTTCCGAAGAACTATATGTGTTTCAGTTTTATGATTTTTGAACATTTAAGTTCAAGAATACATATTTTTATGATACATCTGTTGTTGCATAACATGTAATATTGTCATTTTGAGACAACGATATCAGTTTTATCGATGTTGCGCAAAGATTTTCGGATTCGCGTATTGATATCACAGAATGTAAAAAGTCCATCATGGCGAGATGTAAACAACATTGTGAATTTAGTCTGTGAAATCCCCGTTTTTTCTACTGAATCTGCATGTGATCCATGTTTTCTTCATTAGCAGTCATTGGTAACGACATTCATTTAACCAAACCTTATTATGTGACCGATTGTCAAGACCAGATTATTTTGTATACAAGGTATGAAGACACGCATTTTCGCTTTCTTTCGAAAGTCTCAAAACCTAGTGAAATTTGTCACCCCCACGTGTGTTCAGAAAGGATTTTGTCGATATAGAATAGAATTTCGAAAATATCTCGATAGGTTTCCATTCCTTATATGTGCGAGAAATAACTTATCTATATTTAGTAATAGTATATCGTGTAATAAAAGCTACAGCGATGCAACCATAAACAATTACAAAAACACTAGTTTTGTTCTTATAAAACATTTTTTGAGAAAAAACATGATTTTGTTTATTGTTTGTTCATCAATGAAACCATTGGGCACAAACAAAATGCGTTACGGTACTCATTGCCCTTGTATTTTACCACTGAAAAATTTGCCAGTTTTCACCAATGGTCACTGTATCTCCCCCTTAAGCCAATATAATATCAGATTTGTTATAACCTTTGTTTCCCTTATCGGCAGTACAAGTGTAGAAAAAAGGGTCAAACTATTTGATATTTTGTATCTTAAAATCTAAACTGGGACAGGGGCATGTATATCCAAACCCTACAACCCGCAATGTGTATTGTAATACACAGGTATACAAATCGCGGGGTAAGAACGCATAGCTCTCGCATGTTCGATAATAACTTTTAACATATGATAGCACGGAGTGTGAACTTAAATATACGACAAAAGTATTAAAAAGGAGGCAAAATAGCACAGAATATCAACTTCAAAAGTGATAAAGTATGAATTAAGGTCATTTACATTGAACTTTATTATTGCATAAATTTCAGTCACTGGATCTCGTGTCCAAACTGCACAAGATCATCTTCTGATCTAATGCTGAACACGTTGGAGTTGAGATCTTTTATCATCACTATGCTGTTCGTCGTCCAGGTTTGGAGGACTGCTTTTGCTTTAACCAGCTGTCGCGAATGATATGCAAGTTCACTCCGCATATTGATGATTTCCTCGTTCACATAGATATGTGAAATTGAATCCCTATCACGGAATGCCTTCCTTGACTTAAGCAGCTTGAACTTCGTATCGACAAACTTCAGACGGACGATAATTTGCCGAGGTTTAGGCGGGGATCTCCCAGCACCATGCTGCTTACGAGGTTTACCCACACGATGAGATCGCTCAACATCGGTGGGCTGTAAGTCAATACCTGCAGCAGCCTTCAGAACAACGACTGTGGTGTCTTCCTCGAGTGTTTCCCGGAAACCGGAGATTCTGACGAGGGCGCGACGTCCATACTGCTCGACGTCGTCTATATGTAGACGTTGGTCACGGTTTTCATTTTCAAGCATATCAATTCGTTGGAGGAGGGGGGATACACGGGTGTTGACCTCCTGGGTAACTAAATTAGCGATGTCCGCCTTAAGGGAAGTCTTAAGGGCTACCACAATCCTGTCAATATCGATATCCGACAGCGACGAGGGACTAGCACTGGGATACGACCCGGGAAATGGACTGGGTTGGACATACCCCGGGGGTAGGGATGGCCAGGTGGATGTGTATACTGAGGTTAGGGCTTAAAGCCAGGTTGACCTGCAGTAAGATTCATTGGGGTGAACACCTCAGATATGGAGTTATTGCAGAGTACAGTCTGTTTATGTCTTTTGAGTTCCCGGGGGATGAGTGACCTAGTCAAGGATGATGAACTAACGTGATGACGTTTTTCTCCTTGAGAAGGCGATAGAGACATGTGTGCTAGCAGTACATATGTAGTTACATGTAGTTATCGGGATACATACAATGGCTTCCACAGAATGCACGGGCCGGGCATGAGTTCTCACTCAAACGTTCAATATGGAGGGCTGAATAATACGGCTGCAATTGTCAATAACATAGCAGGTTTTCGTTGTATATAATAGGAAGTCATCTAACAACCCAATAATGCACAATAATGGACCTCAGGAACCTCGCAAAAATACCTTTTACATAAAAAAAATCGGAGCTGCTCGAAAGTGTAGCTCACCCGGCGGGGGCAGATAATTCACAAAAATCATTTATAATTGTCGCGAGTTTTACAAATATTGATTCGGTTTTGCATTTT